CTGCACGCATTATTCCACGCGCATTTTTCCGCGTCGATCTGTGCCGCGGCACGAGGCATGGGCCCGCTTTCTGGGAGAGGATACCCGCTCCGGCACGTGACCGGTGCGTATACGCGTACGGTACACTGGAAACGTTCGTGTGAACTTGGACAGGTTCGGGTAACAGGTTCGAAAGATAAGAACCGCGTGATTGTAGTTTATAGCGACAGAACTATTCGTTGCAAGGTGTAGTGGGAATTAGGGATGAGAAAAGTAATAGTTTTTATGCCTTTAGAGAGGTATTGCTTTCTAATTTTGTGTATCTCAATAGTTGGATTTGAAATAGATTGAAAGATTGAAATTTAAAAGCATCAACAATGAAAGCTTCTAAATTCTTTAATTTTGAAAATTTTTAGGATCTATAAAGATACATAGATTTGAATATTCTTCTGAAGTTTAATTAAAGTTTCTAATGATATTTCAAAGATTTTCAGATTTGTAGATATTTGAAGATCTTCAAAGATCAGAAGGCATTGAAGGAAAAAAAATTTGAAATCCAGAAAATTCTAGAGATTTAAAATTCTAATAATAATATGATAATTTCTTTAAAGATTCCAAGATGAGAAAATTTAAAATATTGTATTTTATATAAAAATGGATACAAATTCTAAAAGGAGGAACTAGTTTTCACAATGATCTCTAATCATACAAGTTCTTTTACTGGGTAACAAGTTTCCCTTCTAATAGTTAGTCCAATAACTGTCCCAATCAGCTTATAATTACAAATCTATTCTTGTTAATTACACTTGTAAAAAATTAATTGTCTCACAATTCTTTAGAATTTTTCATTATCAATGCCAATTTTTTAAATAAAAATTTCACGAACAAAATTAAATTGAAGTGGCAATAAAAAAAAATTGATCATATTATTATTGCAAGAAATAAAACTATAAAATGTTTCCATAAGATAATTAAATTTTTTATTGCAATAAATTGATTTAACTTTTTAACATAAAATTTTTATTATTTTGAGAATGTTCTTTAATAATAATTAAAAATTTTAAAGATTTTCAATAAATATCATATATCAACTATTGAAAATAATAAAAATTTTATATCTTATATCTTTATACGAATATAATTTAGCGTTTGTAAAATTATCATAAGAAACAAAATTATATGCAAGCCATATTCCATGAATTAATGATCTTCAACGAGTATTCCGCGTGCTACTCGCTGGCACGATGGCCTACTTCGGTCTGGCGCCAGGCGTAAAACGGGAAAAGAATCATATGATTCTTAACCACGATCGAATCGATCGTCCACAACTCTCAGGTGAAATTTTCACCTCTGCCTCATTATTATAACTTTCGTTATAATTTATTCGTTTTGTCAATTTATGGTTTCCTCAACTTCATATTTAAGTGCGATCTTCTCAGCACTTTATATTTTTTTCTTGCAAATTGCCTTATTGATTCATATTGAAATAATTTGATAAATCAGATAATTACAGTTTTCTGATTCAGAAGCTTTAAAATGATAAATATAATCCATTTCTTCAAAAGTACCTATATTCAATGTAATTTAGGAAAATTTAATTTAAAAAAGTAATTTATTTAATTATTGAGATAATTTGATTTCCATCATTTCTAGTAATTTTAATTTCTTTAATTTAATTTATAACTTAAGTTAAATCTAAACCATTGAAAGGATGATTAAATTTTTATAATCAAAATAAAAGAGTAATTTCTATTTTTGATAATTATAAGGAATTATCAAATAATAATAATTATAAGGAATTGCTAAAAGTATTTTAAACACTTAAATTTAAAATATCTTTATACTGTTCCAAAAACATTCAAACTCAAATCTAATAATAATATCTCGAATAATATAATAATCTATCCTTTAGCTATCGAAGAAATCAATTCATCCTTTGACAATGAAGAGAATCAATTCCAAATATTATATATATATATATAT